GCTCCAGCCCTCCCTTCCTGACTTTTAATGAAGAAAAACTGAGACCCAGACAGGGGAAAGAATTTGGCCTGGGTCATACAGCGTCAAGGACAGTGGCAGGAAGAGAAGGTGAGTCTCAGCTTTGCTGACAGTCTCTACACCAGCTGCTTGCTGGGAAGGCGAGATGTAGGGGGTGCGGGTGGGGGGAAGAGTGAGGGTGGGAGTCTTGGGACAGGCAGGCAGACAGAGGTATGTGGGGCCCAGCTGCCTGCTGATAAGAGACCCCCAGTGCCATTCCAAAGGGAAGTTTAATCAAGATGTATTTTTCCCCCCCGGCTGCAGACTCTATTTTCTTTCTCGTGCAGACTGTGCCGGCCTTCACGATAAGGCGCCTAGACATGTTCACACTAAGGCAGCCAAAACATGAGGCAGGAGGCAAAAAATTCCCCTCTCAATTCCCCCTTACCCACTCCCCCCTGTTTCCTTTCATTCTCTCCAAGTTCTCATACCCCTCCCGCCCCCCCAAGCTGACTGGCTTCTTCCTGTCTTCCAGTAAGTCAGCCCAAAGGGGTCAGGAAGGTACGTGACCCAGTGGGAGCCAAAGGAGAGACACAGAGAGCCCCCCTGAAGAAAGAGGCCTAAGCCACAGGCTCCCCTGAACGGTGATCAGATGATCCGAGGCAGCAGATAAAGGAAGAGGGCATGTCACTTACAGCCTTGCCTCCGCAGCCTTCTCCTTAATGCTATCCCTATAACCCCCGCAAATGGAATGCGGAGAGGTTCAAGCTGGAGGTGATTAGAGCTCCCCTAACCACAGAGTCTCTGCTTCCTGACCCCCACTCCTGCCCTCCTAATCCAAGGCTCCTTGGGGACTTTGAGGGGAGGAGGCTACCCAGCCAGTTTCCATCTAAAACTCCCCAGACGTAAGAGCTCCTGCCAGAGAGATCTGGTGTCCTGACCCACCAAATCCACCCATCAACTGGATCAGTCCCTTGCCTCTCTCTGCCTCTGTTTCCTCTGCCCATCAAGGTTAGACATAGAGAACCTGGTCTTGAAATCCCTCCTTTGGCTTTTGCAGAAAACAACGCACTACCTTGGGCTTCCTGGGCACTGGCAAGCTAGCTGCCTGGCCCCCACACCACCCCGCTCTGCTCAGGAAGTCACCCCACCCTCCACACATCTGGATGGAATTTACCCCCAAAGCAACTCCATTGCTGTGATGTGATCAGGACAGCTCATGTGTCAGAAGAGGCCCTGGTGCAGATGTTCTGTAGGACTGGGGGCTCCTGGCTCCTCTCACAGCTCTAGGGTTTTCATGAGGTCTCTGGAGAGCAGTGTCCTCCTGAGCTAAGAACAGAGACCCAGTAAGGCTCGTACTTTCTGTACTGACTCAAGTACCTCACCCCCAAACCAGGTAAGGGTTATACGCTGGAGGGCAATGGAAGTTGTTCTTTGATCATGCCCGCCAACCAGGCAAATGGGATTCTCCTTGTCTCTCTCTATTCACACCCTGAACCCCACTAGAGGACCTCAGTAGTTAAGATGGTGTTTGCAAAGTTGTGACTGTGAGGATTTCAGGACCTTGGGCTAGGTCTTAGTATCCTTCTTTGGGAAATCAAGATAATTCCTGCTGTTTTCCAGTGGCTTTTGCCAAGTTTAGTGGGATTGGCGGTCTCTGGAGCTTCCTGATGCTCAAACTCTCCACTGGAGACCCTTGCCTTGAGCCTATGGTTCAAGGCTACTTTCCTGGCCATCCTGCTTCCCTCCCGCCCTGCCCCTCTTTCTCCATCTCTACCAACATATACACATCTAACAGGATCCGAGCTCAGGAGTTCTGGGCGCAGTGCGCCATGCCAATCAGGTACTCCCTTAAGTTTGTCATCACTATCATGACCTCCTAGTGAGGAACCACCAGGTTGCCTAAGGAAAGATAAACAGGCTTGGATAAGAAACAGCGGGTAGGTCTGGAGAGATGGCTCAGCAGATAAAGAACTCTGGCTGCTCTTCCAGAGGTCCTGAGTTCTAGTCCCAGCAACCACATGGTGGCTCACAACCATCTATAGTGGGATCAGAAGCCCCCTTCTGACCTAAAGTACATGCAGGCAGAGTGCTCACATACATAAACAAATAAACAAACAAATAAAACTTTTTTTCAAAAACTGTGTTGAAAAGAAAAGAGAAAGAAACAACAGGTAAGACCACTCAGGTTCATGGGTAGCGGCATCAGTCCTGTGAAGACCACAGCCCTCTGGGTGAGATAAGCCACAGGCTTATTACAGGTTCTACATGGCCACGCTGGCTGCACTCTGCGTTACCCCTGAGGACCTACTCAACACCAGTCGAGTGGAGAGCTAGGCATGTGGCCACCATGCCAGTTCAGATCAGGGCCCTGTGCTCAGTTCTGCGGCCCAGAGAAAGCAAAGTCCAGGGCCACACCTCCCTCCCCGGGGCTTGCTTGTCAGAGGAGCCCCAGGAAGCTGACCCTCACGTCAGTTGGTGTGAGAGAGAAGAGTCAAGGCTGATGGCCGCGCTTGCGTACCTGCCCTGAAAAGGACAAGCTGGGGCTATTAGGGTCTCGGCTTAGCCTCCTCCCGCTTTGAAAAATCTGCCAGGGAAGGGGAGGGGCTCACACAGCACTCCTCTTATGCCAGCAGTCGCTGCTCTGCTCGTGACAGGGTTATGATTATCGTGTGAAATGACTATCATCAAGACAATTGCTCCTCACCTAGAAAATGTCCTAATGGAGACCACAGCCCAGGACTCACAAGAAGCCTCGTTCAAAAGGACTCTGAACTCCAAGAGTTCTGTGCCTGTGTCCGGAGCTCATGGTCCCCTCTCACCAGAAAGCTGTCGACAGGATGGAAGGGATCGTGGGATGGTTGGCATCCTGGAGACCACAGGGGCGACCAGCTTGGGGTGGAGGGTCTGAGCGGGAACCAAGGAGGAAACTGAGGTGGGAACTCCAGTTCATCCGTTCATCTGGAGTGATGAGAGCTGCTGTCTGCTCACTGTTGGGGTGTACAGGTGGAATGGCCGAGTCTGTGATAGCTGAAGGTCACACTGAGGACCACCCAGGCACAGAGACCGGTTAGGGCCTGCTGGAATCCAGACGGAATTTAATGCCAGGATCTAGGCACAGCATGAAATCCCGAGAGGGAAACCAGCAGGCAGGTAGAGTCCCTCTCACACCCTCTATCATGTGATCTTTGTCACTCAGTGAGATGGTTCTGTCTATTTCGTTCGTCAGAGGGAAGAATGTCCTCAGAGGGTCCTTGCAGGTCACCGATGGCAGGATGAAGCTAAAAAGTCTGATCTCCTGCTCTCAGGCCAGTGTCATTTTTGTACAGACACCGTAGGGGCACTGCCTAAGGACAGGTTATGCAGACAGGCCCACAATAGACTTATTAAATGAAGAGAGTCTCAGTAGTGTGGTGATGGTTCTGCAGGCTCAGGACCAGAGCTGGGGATAAGTGATGAGTCAGTGACATTAGGGTCACAAGAGTAGCCAGGTCTGGAGTCAGGAGACTCTGGTTCAAGGTCCAGGCTTGCACTGATCAGCCGTGTGACCCAGGAAAGGAACAGAATCCCCGAGCCTGAGTGATTACCATCAGAGATGAGTGGTGGAGTCTACTGCAAACATATCTTTGAATGGTTTCTGAGTAGACGGAGGCCGAGACCTCTCTGTGCTGTCTATGACTGCTGCAGGGGCGTGGCCATGGACGGAGCCCATGGAAAGATTCAGGCAGCCTCATAATTACTTGTGTTCATTATGGGCTCCTAGTGTCATACTCTATGCTAACTACTCACATAAATGGACGAGTAGACAGCTGGCAAGAAGAGACTGGGCTCCAACAGGGATAGAGGCAATGGAGTACCGTGGGATCTCTGGGCAGCACCGCACCAAGGCTTGCCTGAAGGGAGCTGAAGGCCCGTTCGGTTGCATAGTCATGCAGCAAACACAGGCTGGCCTGCCACCATCTTGCTTTACCTCCGCCAAGGCCTGGTCCTCTCTGGGCCCATTTCTCTTCCTGGAGGACAGAAAGAAGGCACTTGAGGAGTGGGAGCTTTGCTGCCACAGAGGGAGACTTTCTCACACCTGAAGCCTCCAGGCCTGTTGGGATCTGCCGGCCTGAAGGGGATTTCCTGGGGCGGGCCCTGTTCCTAGAGCTGCTGAGCTGACGGTGCCCTTGGATGGGTGCCCAGAATTGGTGTTGTGTGTGTTGGGGGGGGGCAGTGCTCAGAGAAGCAAGCCGGTCCAGTGGGAAAAAGAGGCGGGCACACGCCCAGTTCACACACTGGCCCTGCCTCCAGGTCCTGAGGTCTCCCCACCTTTTGCCCTGAGGTGAGGAAATAGGGTACCCGCCTGTTGAAGGAAGCTGTGCTGCCCCTTGGCCCAGGATCCTGATGTGTTTGCTGTGTGACCTCAGGCAAGTCCCTGCCCATTTCTGGGCCTTGGCCCCGGTTTGCACAGTGAGGAAGGCAGAGATTTCCAAGTTCTTTTGGAATTCTGACAGATCTGGTTGGGTCCTGGGGGTCCTGGGAAAGGGGTTAGGATGGGGCTGGATTCTGGGGACTTGCCTCCCCCTACAGAGTAGAAGGTATGGAGGCACAAGGGTCGGTGGTGCGGGGGGGGGGGGGAGGGAGGGAGGAGCCCCAAAGCTTCAGGTGGCTCCAAGAGGGGCCCAGGAAAGCCCAAAGGCTCGGAAACATGTTTATTCTGAAGTGTCTGGTGTCACGGGGGGCTGTTTCTTCGGGGTTTGAAATGCCCCAGAAGTCAGTTCTCTGCATGTGTGTTTGTTGAGTAGAACATGGGCTCTATTTATTCATCCTTTCGCCCGAGCCCTTAAAAATATAGACGGCTAATGTCTTCAGTATGTATGAAATATCCCATATGCTCGGAAACAAAAGGGGCTCTGTTATTAAAGTTTCATTTCCACACGCCCCCCTCCCCTCCCTCCCGCCCGCCCCCCTGACACCCTGCCCTCCTCCCATCCCGTTCAGCCTGCTAGAGACAGCAGAGAGAGGAGGCAGGCAGGCGGGCAGGCGGTGGGCAGCGAGCTGCTGTGGACAGAGGCCGGGCACAGCCGGCTTCCTCTCCATTGTGTGCTGAGTCCAGTTCCAGGTGAGGCGGTGGAGCGGGAGAGGGCTGCAGAGTTTTCCAGAGGAGAATGGTCCCTGGGATGTCCAGTGGGGAGTGGGAGCTGAGGTGGCCCTTCTTGTGGACTCCTGGGGAGCTGGGGCCCTGGCAGGGTCCCACTGTCTGGGACGGAAATGCCCGCTCTGCTGCTAACTGAAACCACATGTGCCTCCCAGGCAGCGGGACAAGGACATCGCCTGGCCTGAGGCTTGGGACTGGGAGAGAAAAGATGTAGGCTGGTCTGCAGTGTGCTCCAGGGTGGGTGGAGGGGTGTGCGTGTGTGTGCGCGAGCACACGTGTATGTGTGTGTGTGCCCATTCGTGTGTGTGCTTGTGTGTGTGTGTGTGTGTGTGTTGGGGGTCATCAGAGTGCAAGAGGATGTCAAGGTCATGTGGCCATCATCAAGTTGGAGTGGGTAGACTCAGGGCTCACATAGCTTCCCTCCTGGCCCAGTGGGGTCCTTACTTTACTGGGCTCTATTCTGCCAGCTTCTCTCTATTATGCGTTTCTTACAACCACATTTCATCTTCTCTTACTTCTCTCACCTCTTCCATCTCCCAGATGAAACAGCAGAAGACAGGGAGGGTAATAGCAGTCCCCCTCCCATCTGTTTTCTGTTCTTCATAGTAGTCCCTCACCTTTGGGAGCATGGCATTGTCACCAAAGCTCTGGAAGGTAAAGAAACCAAGCTTGAGCCATGGCCATCAGGAGGACTGGCTGTCCAGATTCAGCCAGAGGCATGGGTAGGTTAGAGTGAAGACTTGAGCTTGGGCAAAGACAGGGCCTCCCTTCTCCATGCTTTTGGCCATTGGGATCATTTCTGAGGGTCAAGTAACCCGAGTCCAAGGCTGTTTCTTCCTGAAGAATGGGCCTCGAGGGGAGCTAGCTCCCTATTCAGGAGGTTGCTCTGCCAAGCCCTGCCACACAGGGCCCCGCCCATCACCTGGCTGCAGTCTTCTTGCCTACAGTGACATACTGTAGGGCCAGGGCGGGGCTTCCAGAGCTCAGCGTGCATACCACTGGCAGCTCACTCATGTCAGAGTGCTCCGTGCACTGCTAGTTTTCATCTTAACAAGGGGTGTGTGTTAGTCTTCCTTATGCTGAGAAAATATACAAACAGCATCTCAAGTTTGTGAGATCTACTCTTCTACAACGAATGAAACCTGGCACTCAGTAGAGAATCCTTTAGGTCCTGTCTTTCTGGGCAGTGACTCCTTTTATGCTTATAGCATTGGAACTGCTCTCAAGAGTGTTGGTTCTTGGGCTGTATATGCAGTTCCGTTAATAGAGGGCTTATTTATGCACATGCATGAAGCCCAGGGTTTGATCCTTATCACTGCATAAGCCAGGAGTGGCGGTGTGTACCTGTAGTCCCAGTAGCCAGGAGGTGGAGGTCATCCTCCAATATATGTCGTTTGTGGCCATTATGGGATGCACGAGACCCTGTCTTACAAAAAATAAGAGTGCAATTCTAGCTGTTGAGAGCCACATGTGATCTTCTGGGGAGACCATCTTTTGGTCCCACAAATTAGTAGTGCCAAATTCTATGAGTTCAGAGGAGAAAGCACAGTTGCTACTGTGAGTGTGTGCGTGTGCATGTGTGTGTCTGTGTGTGTGTGTGTGTGTGTGTGTGTTTATGATGGGTGCTATTTGGAAAAGCAAGGGCCAGCATGGGCAGAGGGGAAAGACCGGCTCATTCTTACTGTGAGTTTGGTGTCTAAGGTCAAAAGCAGGGTCTTGGGAAAAAGAATGTCCCCTGAGTGGCATTTCAAGTGCTTCCTCTGGTCTCAGCCTTCCTTTGAATTGCTGAGAGGGTCGGGCGGAGCTGTCCTAAGGCTCACGCCTTTCCGGCCATTCAGTCCTAGCTCCCAGCCACTTGGCTATGACTTATACGCTGAGCCAGGACTTACCTCAGTAGGGAGTGCTGGGGGGACTTGCAGGGGCTTGGGGGAGCCTTAGCCGCATCCTAGTCACTTCTCCAGGCTGAGCTGGCCTGAGACGGCACCCTTGAGGACATGCCTCTCTTGCATGAGTTCACTGCGGCGGCTGCTGTGGCTTGGTCATTGCTCGTACACAGAGCTTCACTGGGCACTTTCTTATCACCAGCCCTTGGGAAAGCCTTATTCTGCTCTGAGGTAAAACAGCAGCTTCCGGGACCATTCTTTCTCATCTCATCCTGTACCTTTGGCACACGGTGGTGGAGAACATCCTTGGGTAGGGAAGAGTTTATGACCCCTTCTTGAGGAGGCAGCAGGTGATAGAAGGAGCGGAAGGCTAGGCTCATTCTACATTCTACATTTACCACTAATCTGTTGCGTGACCATGAACTAGCTCCTTAGGGTATTCTCTTTCTCTCCTCTAACTCAAGGCATCATTGTCTTTGTTTGGACTGAATACACTGTGATGGACCAGCAACCCACTTCTTGAATGTTCTTTCTTTTCTAGAAGGACACTTTCCTGCAGAATGTGGATGGCTCCTTCAAGCAGGCTGACTGAGTGGAGCCATCGACCTTCGGCAGGTCCAGGTTTCACGGGTGCTGGTGGTCACTTTTTCAAACTCTGGAGAAGCAGCTGGCCAGGTTCAAGGGCATAGTTCCTGCCTGTGGAACTCATCTAACAAGCCTTGTGAGGTCTACGGAATACTCACTGCTATTCCACTGCCAAGGTCAAGTAGACCTGCCCTGGGCTGCTCCTGAGAGTCATGGGGATCAGCTTGACTGAGGCTCTGCTCAGCGGGCAGGATGTGAGCTGCGAGACCAGCTTTTCCCCAAAGAAATGTCCTCATTTAGAGAACAGACCTGCTTCTGTTACGGTGGTCAGTGACGCGGCATAGGATTAGCGCTCCACTGAGCTCCCCGTTGCAGCCATGCCTGGGCTCGCCACCTCCTTTGGCTTCCTTGAGTTCTTTTTTTTTTTTCTGGGTTTGTTGAACCCAAGCTGCTAGTGGCAATTTCAGCCTCAGGCAAGGGGAAACTGAGGGCCGCAGCTGGATCAGGAAACAAAGGATAAAGCTAGGCAGCCTGCATGGCTCGTTCTCTCAGCTCCTGCTGAGGTCATTAGATCTTTATGAGAATCTGGGATCTACTTTCCTGAGCTGTAAGATGGATCATCAGAAAGGGACACAGTAACCAGGAGGACAGACTGCCTTGTACACACCACAGGGGACACTAAGGACACTATAGTTCCATAACTCTACTGACCCAGGGAAGGCTGTCATCATCCTATGACAGAGAAGACAAGACACTGAGTATGGAGCCCTGAGGTGCAGGACCAGCGCCAATTCTTCCCCAGGCTAGGTTCTAGTCCTGGCCTGTAGCTCTGTGACTTCAAGCAGGTCATTGAACTCTGCTGAGTCTCATTTCCTCATATGAAACAGATGCAGGAGCAGCGTCCATCTCATGGTGGCTACAGGACTCCTTCAGCTCTTCAAGTCCTGGTACACTGGAAGGACTTTGATGATGGAGGCCTCGAGGCCTTGTGCCTCAGATGAATCCCCTCCTATAGTCCCCTCCTGCGCTGTCAGGTTACAGCCTGCAGAGTCAGTTGGCTCACTGGCCAGCGACTTCAGGTACTTTGCCCCAGGGTTTGTCTTAGACTTTGCCATGAACAATGTCCAAAATAGCTCTTGGAACAGCTCACTCTAGACTCACAGGATGGGCGTGGTGAGTGGTGGGGACAGTGGGGTGGTTTCACACCTGAAGAATACTGAGTGGGACACACTTGGGAAACGGAGGCTTTGAGAGGGTAAGGGCTGGTGTGAACAAGTGTGGGACCCGTGCAGGAGAGGAGAAAGAACCAGGCGAGCCTACACCAGGCTGCCTTGGAGCTCCCCTGGAAACAGGAAAGGGTTAAAAGAACCAGAAAGCAGAGGAATACAAATTCAGGAGAAAGCCTGGAGTGCTAAGATGGGGTTGTTTGGTCAGCTGAGCAGCCTCCTGGACCACTCCCAGGGTCTGCAGGCCACCCCCCCCCCACACACACATACACATGAGCAAATGAGCACACACAGATCCTTTCATCAATGGGCATGCATCTCACACACGGAAACGAGCATACAGCTATATATCAGCATTCAGACACACAGGGGCATGTGGGCATGGAAACGGGCACACATACATAACCACACACACATAACCACACACACACACACACATAACCACACACACACACACATAACCACACACACACACACACACACACACACACACACACACACACACACACACACACACACACACACACGCAGAGGGGGCTGGGAGGCTCCAAGCTGGAGGGCAGGTGCTGGGATCAACCTCCTGCCTCTGCCTCTCTTCGGCCCTCACTGCAATGTCAGTAACTCTTGCCATGTATGGAGCCAGGTTCTGCCCAAAACTCTTACATTACCTTGCTCATCCCTCACTGCGCCCCGTGAGATTGGCACTGTCATCCCTCACTGCGCCCCGTGAGATTGGCACTGTCATCAGCCCCGAGGTGCCAATGGAGAAGTCAAGTCTCAGAGCAGAAGAGCAGCTTGCTGGAGGCTGCAGTTTGTTTAGTAGCTATCCCAAAGCAGACCACCAGAGTGCAGAGCTTAAGTTGTCAGCTCCCCAACCATGTCTGAGCCACTGAGGCCCTACCATGGCCCGGTACGATGGACACAGAGGCAGGAGGATCATTCTGGGCAGCCTGGGCTACATCGTCCCAGACCAGCCAGGGCTATATAGAACGACTGTCAAAACAAAGTGAGAGAAGGGGTGGAGAGGACACTAGGTGGTGGCTCATACTTGTAATCACAGCATTTAAGAGTCTGAGGCAGGCTGGAGAAATGGCTCAGAGGTTAAGAGCTCTGGCTGTTCTTTCAGAGGTCCTGAGTTCAATTCCCAGCAACCACATGATGACTCACAACCATCTGTAGAGAGATCTGGTGTCCTGTCCTCTTCTGGCCTGCAAGCATACATGCAGACAGAATACTGTTAGGTGGTTGTTAGGCTAGCCTGGGCTACATA